GAGGCAGTCAACTATAGGACAGATGTATGCTTTTATTTGAGAGATAAATTTATAAAAATGTAGAGAAAGTAAACTTATAATAGAAAAATGAAAATAGATTATCAATTGAAAATATAATTAAAAAATTTAAAATACAAAATTTTTTGAAATTTTAAAAAAACCGCTCCCATACAGTCCATCCCTATCAACTACCATATAAAAAAGATTAGCGGTTATATGCGATCACTTATATACAATCTTTTTGCTTAAACAAAGTCACAGCATGCAATGCATCATACGGCACAGGTGCAAATTCACTTCTAACTTTAATAAAATACTTTAATTCCTATTTTCTTCTCAAGTACTTTAAACTCGGTGTTTCATTTGTTTAAAACACTTTAATCCACATGGTTTCATTTTAGAGGAAAATATTCTTTTGTTAAATAAAACCTTTAATTTATTACCAGTCAAGGTTTATCACTAATGTAATAAGTTTTCTTTGTCTAAAGTGATAATATGACACGTAGTAGATCATCATTTTAGACACATGATAATGTCATGTCATCACTCTGAATATATGATAATGATAGTTATTACTTTAGACATGTGATAGGAATTAACATTGTTACTTTAGACATATGATATATGCCACATCATCATTTTGGACATATATAATTTATCATGTCAGTTATAAGAATTGATTGTTAATTAATTAATAGTTTCCATCTAATCAAAAATATTTTATCCTCAAATTAAATCGTTGGATATTAAAGTGATTTAAAAGAATAAAATGTCAAATGATTATATCATAAAAATTAGATTTTTTTTGGGTATTATGCCTAAAGCAGAAACAAATCATAATAAGCTGATTCCAGCCATAATATGATCCTAAACACCAATGCTAATTGATTGTTCCAAGGGGAAACTATTGTGAATCATATCGAAAGCTTTGATTTTTGTTTTTTTTTAAACAAAGAAATTGCTGTTGTGGAGAAGGAATATGATGTCATACTCAAGGAAGGTCCCTCCCATGGGGCACGGGGGCTTCAACAAGTGCTCCTAAAAGCTGAGTTTTTGTGACTTTCTTTTTCCTTTTCTATATTAATAATCTTTAGGGTGGCAAAGTTCCTTCCCCACCTTAATAAATTTTTTTCTTCTTTTTCTTCAAAATATAACTATGACAGATTATAGCAGCGAACGTTGCTTTAAAAATCATCTATTTTTTTGGTATAACCACTTGTTTTAATCTGGTGATTGATAAATTCAGATCGAGTATTGCAGGAGTTTATTATGAGACGATTCTCTTAACCTATTTATTTGATTTATAATGTTAAAATTTGAACATCTAATTTTATTTAAAGAATTACGTGTCTAATCTCACTAGACCAATATATTGTTAGTAGAAATTATCTGCTCTTTAATTTGTTTTATTATAAGCTCAGCTGCATTAAGTAGAGACGATGAAAGTACAATCAAACCATATGAATATCCCTTTGAATAAGTATTCAATGAAAATGTATATTAGTAATTAATTCCATGATTGAAAAGTTGTATTTTTTTCTAATTACTTAATTATTATTTTGATTAATGATGCACCAATTGAATTATAATTTTATAAAGCCTCATCCATATAAGAGCCAACAATTACCCACAAACCCACATGTGAGTGCATGAGTGAGTGCATGAGTGAGTGAGATGTGGTATTTTGATAGATTGAGTTTATTAATTAAGAAATTAATAATGAAAGGTCTTGAGTTGGATGCTAGGTATCTTCGAATTAATTGAACAAAGAGAAAAATTATGAATTTATCAACCAATTTATATTTACTTTTTTTTAGCTTGATCAACTCAACTATTAAATAAACATGGATTTTCTTGATAATTTATTTTCTGTAAATTAAAGTTGAATTAAAACCTAATTTTTTTGTATTTCAATTTTGAAATAATTTTTTAGAAGAAAACTCAAATACTAGTCATATTTTATATAAATGATAAAGTTTAGAGTGAATTTATAAAGTCATTAAAAATTAGATTTGAGTATAATTACTTGTAACTATAGTCTACATATATATTGACATATTGAGGTAATCATCGTAAGTAGTAAACTATTTTGTTTGAGTCTTCTGACTATTGAAAATTATAAAAGGATCCCTCAATTTTGAGGTGTTGATTTTGTTGAGTCCTCTTACTATTAAAAATTACAAAATGGTCATTTCACTATTCATATTTCTAAACTCGTCTTTTTCAATTAAAAACTTGACGACAGTCTGAGCTGCACAGTAACATGTTAACTGATATATGATAAAATATAATCTCAAACGACTATATAGTTGAAATGATTATGGGATAAAATTTTATCATATCCCACTCAACATATTAACGTTTAATTCATGCAATGTCATTTTTTTAAACGGAAAATGACAAGTTTAGAATATATGAATACTTGAGTGACCAAATTGTAACTTTGAATAGTTGGAGGACTAAACAAAATAACATCTTATAGTTGAGGGATGATTTTGTAATTTTCAATAGTTAGTGGACTCAATAAAATAGTTCCTATAGGGGAACATTTGTGTACTTTACTCATATAAATAAGGGTAAACCACACGTTTAGTACATCAACAATCACATTTATTCCATTTTGATCACCCAATTATTATTTTTTAAATCATCCGTAATGATACGATTTGGTTTCCTTTTGGTCATTCTTCGTTAAAATATTAATAGAACTACTGACGTTACATTTAAAAAAACTAATGATGACATGACATTATTTTATGATGATATGTCAGCGTCATCGTTAATTTTTTAACATGAACGACTAAAATGAAAGTAAAATGTAGCGTTATGTATAATTTTAAAACAAAAAATAATTAAAACAAAACAAAAATTATAGTTGTGATCCTAAATGTGCAGTTTATAAATAAAGATATTAATAATACAGATTTAAAAAAAATCTCAAAACCTATCAAAAATACTAAATAAAAAGGAAATAAAGAGAGAGAGAGAGAGAACGTTGAATAGGAGTAGGGATTTGACCTAGGTAATAAGGGAGAAGAGAAATATTGGGAAATGCAAAAATGATTGACCAAAACGTAAGCTCTACATCCCGAGGAGTTGCTACAATCAAAGCCCTTGTAGAATTGACCCATCCTGTCCTCTCATTTTCAAAACTTTTGAACCCTCACGTGCAACTGCGATTCCTTTTTTACCTTCTTACCTAGGCCCTCGTGCCACCCATTTTTCTAATCTTATTATTTGCATTCCATCACCGGTTTATTTTAACTATTTAATCCTTATTTTTAAGGGTAAAATACATAAATTATTATATAATTATAAAATATTGATTTTTTGAATTCTTTAATTATTAAAAGTTATAAAATAATTTATCGATTATATATTATTGTTTTATTGAATTACTAGACTATTAAAAGTTACAAAATATTTACTTAACTATTTATATGTTCTGAATTCGTCATTTTCTATTAAAAATTGGTAGATGTATAAGTTAGATATTAACTTGTTTATTGATATATGATAAAATATTATCACATAACTGTTTGATTCATATTTTGTGGATCAAATTCTCCATTTACATTATACAGTCAAGTCAGTGGTTGAAATATTATATTGATGAACCAGTGCTTGAAAGAAATGGCAATACACATCATTGAAATATGATTTTATCATACTCTAGTTAGTAGGTTAACTTCCAACTCAAACGATCGTCAATTTTTTTATATAAAAAAGACGAGTTTGGAACATATATATGAATAGTTGGATGATCATTTTGTAACTTTTAATAGTCAAGAAATTCAATGAAGAAGCACCCTATAATCAAGATATCATTTGTATAATTTACCCATCTTTAAGGATAAATTATACCGAACCTGTTATTTTTGTTTTGTTTTGAAAAAATTAAAATCTACATACTAAAATGAAACAAAAGTAATAATTTATGGACTAAACTTTTTTTATGTCTAATATTCTCAATTATATATTTAATAGTATAAAAAATGAGTATAATTAAATTAAATAAGATCATAAATACAATAAAAATTTCTTATTAAATATTTAGCACTTTTGAAAAATTTCTTATTAAATATTTAATACTTTTGAAAAAATTCTTCCTCTTTTTCCTTCATTTTGCATTATTTATTTTACTTAAAATTTTATATTTTCTCAACCCTAGTTATATAATTTTATTAATAGGCTAAGCTATATATAACCATATGTTTTGAAATTTTCTTCCCTATTCTTCTCATATTAGTCATCTGCTAAGATCGACGTTCTTTTTGCTAAAAAGATTTATTTTTTGTAATTACACATTCATAATACTAATGGCCCATGTGAACTCTTCGAAGAAAAAAAATCATTCAAAAGTATATTACGAATATGGAGTAATTCAAGATGCGATGAGAACCTCTCCTTTTGTAACATTCATAATAATGAATCATCTTTTTTTTTCTTTTACTATAAAAGAAGGTCAACTATTTTTTTTAATAATAATATAAAATGATTATAAAGTAATATATGTTTAAAATTTTCTTTAACCTAAAGTGATTATAAGATAATATATGATTATCTCAAATTAATAGTAAAATTAATTGTCTCCAAAAATTTTATAAGTTCATCCTAATATAAAATTTAGATCTATTTCCAACCCATTAAATTTGGAAGAATCATCAATGAAATCTCTAGATCATTAATAAACGGTAGAGATTAATTTAATCATTTTTATTAAAAAAAATAAACACCACCATTGAATCCTGATCATGCATGATTTAAATTTAATCAATCAAAAGACAAACATATAATCCAGTCTCTCTCTCTCTCTCTCTCTCTTGATTGGATTCTCCATTATAAAATCCGATCCCACTTTCTCCTTTGTCCTTGAACACATTAATTTTTAGCTCCTTTCCCTTTAATGTTTTCTCAACTCTCACAAAGATTAAACAAACCCCTTTTTTTTCTAAATAATTTTACTTCATTTCCTGTGTTCTTCACTCTCAAAAATTGATCTTATCGAAAAGGAAATGAAAAGGCAAGTTGAAACGCTCGAGACGCTGAAGTACCTCATCGGCTCAACAGGAGCCAGCGGCTTCGGTTCTAAGTCCACCGCTGAGGAAGTTACCGAGACTTGGCACCCTGGCCTCCGCTCTATAACCGCCATCATCACAGGTACTTGAAGAATCGACCACCGCGTGTGGCAAACATTCATTTCTTTCGGGTTTTGGGTGTTGATTGTGAGTGGTTGAACTGAAACAGGTGCGACGTCGGGGATCGGAGCCGAGACGGCTAGAGTTTTCGCCAAGCGAGGAGCGACGTTGGTGCTTCCGGCTCGGAACCTTAAAGCAGCGGAGGAAGCTAAAGTTAGGATTGTTTCCGAGTTTCCCGAGTCAAAGATTATCGTCATGGCTCTTGATCTTAGTTCACTCACTTCCGTTCGAAATTTTGTATCGGAGTTCGTGTCTCTTAACTTGCCTCTGAATCTCCTAATGTAAACTCCTAAACTCTTTGTTTCCTTAATTTCTACTTCATTTTCTAATTACGAACCTAAAAAGATGAAGATGAAGCTTGAATGAAACAAATTGTTTCTCTTTTATCGGACTGAAAGGCAAGCTTTTGTGATCGGTGCATCAGAAACAACGCCGGGAAGTTCGCGCATGAACACGCAATCTCTGAGGATGGAATCGAGATGACATTTGCCACTAATTATCTTGGTAATCATTAAGTTTTTTTTGAATAGTCTCAATTGATTACGAATAATATTTGTTTAAAATAAAAAAATATTATAAAAGGAATTGTTTAAACCCAAATCCTTTACTCTCTTTTATCATTTAGAATTCGCTTAGAGTTTCTTTTACCAAACATGGTTAGAATATCGTGCTACAAATTTTAGGTCATTTTTTGTTGACGAAACTGCTGCTAAGCACGATGATCAAAACGGCGAAGCAAACTGGGGTTCAAGGAAGAATAGTGAACGTGTCGTCAAGTATCCATGGCTGGTTTTCTGGCGATATGATCCGATATATAGGGCAGATATCGAGAAGCAAAAGGTGAGTAAATGATTTTTAAGAAGATTGGTGTGTTTGTATGGATTTTTAATTCATGTGTCTGTTGTTTGTTCGACTGTGTGTTTGCAGTCAATATGACGCGACACGTGCTTATGCTCTCTCGAAGCTCGCTAACGTTTTGCATACCAAGGAGCTTGCCCAGAGACTGAAGGTCATCATCCTTTCATTATATATTTTCTCATAAAAAAGCGAAATTTTGTTGTTTTCTTTTATATTTTTTCCTCAAATTCTGAACCCTCAATAATGCAGCAAGTGGATGCCAACGTGACTGTGAACTGTGTTCATCCAGGGATTGTTAGAACCCGTCTCACCAGGGAACGTGAAGGCTTCATCACAGGTATAGATGGATTTTATTATAGGTATAAGGATAAAAAAATCCCTACTATTTGATTAAATAGTCATTTTAGTTCTTATTCAACTTTTAGAGTATTTTTCAACATTTTATTTTTGATATAAAAAAGGCTTCTTTAGATGAAAACGATTCGTTCAACGCTCTAAAATAAGAGTATTTTTATCCTAAAATAAAACGTTAGACTTCAAAACACTCTAAAATAAAAGAATAAGGGAAAGTAACTATTTAGTTATACATTTGTTACCCTAAAATGAATTATTTAGTCGAATGTTAAAGGAATTTTTATCATTATACTTTTGTTTTACGGTTTCATAGTTTCAACTCGCTATTAATAAAATCTAATATTTTTAGTTTCTATATGAACCTGCAGATCTGGTTTTCTTTTTAGCTTCCAAGCTCCTGAAGACTATCCCTCAGGTAAACTAATATGTATCCAAAGTAGAGCTTTCGATTAATGAAGTTAAAGTGGGTGAGTTTGATGGGCAATGGGGGCTTCCATTTGTCGATGTTTTCAGGCAGCTGCCACTACTTGTTACGTAGCAACGCATCCGAGACTCGTAAATATAAGCGGGAAATACTTTGCAGACTGCAACGAGGCATCGACGTCGAAACTCGGATCAAATTCGAACGAAGGTGTGAAGATATGGGCTGCCTCTGAAATCATGGTTTCCAGACGTGCTAAGCCAGTTTTTGATCCCCTTAATGCCTTCTATGACCATGATATGTAAGAAGAAGAAAAATTAGAAATTAACAGATTTAGCAAAAGATATGAATAATCTTAGTTGTAAGAGGAAAGATATATAAATATATATAGCATATGTATACATACATCACTTAAAAGACAACTAGATATACAAGTTATGTACCTTAAATTACAGGCATGTTGGTTTGGTACATGTTAGGAAGCATACATGTACTAGAAAAGAAGAGGGTTTTGTACTTATTAAACTGTTTCTATCTATAATTATTAGTACTACTATTCTTTATATATATAATTTTTAGTTATATATTTTTTTATGATCTTTGTAGGAATGTCATCTCTCTTTTTTGTATGAATATTTTATTATTTCATATTGTTTATCTTAATTATCTATTTTCACTTATGTAAACGATCTAAAAATTATAATGGTATAAACCTATCCGGCCTATATATATATATTGCCCCCATGACCCCATTCTAGAGTTTTCCTTGTTTTTCTTTATAAAGAAAGGGATCCGATGATAATTGTAAATTGATTACGGATGATGATTATATTAATGAATTAGTGGGTTTTGATTGGGATTATGAAAGTAGTTGGAAACCCTGATGAGGATTAATATTAATATAAATAAATATAGATCGTACAAGTTCAAGTGTTTCTTTATGAAGAATATGTAATAAAGGAAAATGAAAGGAAAGGAGAGAATAAGTGGGCAATAAGAACATGGGAGGTGGGTTCAGGATCATGTGGTGGTTGATATATGAAGAGTATCTCTAGGCTAATGCTCTGGGTCCTACTAACATGCGCCAGGGGATTGGGTGGTGGGAGGGAAACATCATGCGTTCAAGGGCTTCGGAATAGAAATTCTTAATACAAAAAATTTACCTTTGTTTTTTTAGGTAAATTACACTAATGACTACTTATCTACTTATCTATGAATGAATTTGGATCTATTAAACGATCTTAGTAATTAAAATGAGTATTGTTCTCCTTAAAAGTCTTAAGTTCAAGCAATTATATTAGGATGTGTGTGCGTGTTATCAATAAAAAAAGATTCTAAACAGATATTACCTTGTAATCACCCGAGACTATTAAAAAAAACTATAGAAGAATTTTATTCTGACTATCAATCTTTTAATTTTTTTAGTTAAACCATTTAAATATTTAAATGTTACTAATAAATCAATTGTCGTTAACATTTGACGAAGAAACTAACATATCAGTTAAAAATAAATAATTACACACTTGATTTTATTTCCTTCTTTGTCAACTCAAACATTACCCAACTTGTAACATGTTCAACTCAAACATTACCCAACTTGTAACATGTCTCTTTCATCATACTTATTGGGAGATGTTGTACCCAAACCATAAATTTAAAATGGTCGTACACTCCAATATTGGCAAAGACCAACTGCATTACATACCTCCAATATTATATCTTACATAAACCTATATATAAGCTCAATAAACTCTATGACATGCTTCACGTATCCGAGACTTTGATTTAATTTCCAAAGACAATAAACTAACATAAGTAAACTTAATAACAAAAATCAAGACATAACATGAACCTATCAAGTAACCTTAATGGTTAAAGAAAGTATTATTCTCCCTAGAAATACTAGGTTTAAGTAGTTGTGTCTGCAGAATGTGTGTTGTCAATGACAGCATATTAGAGCCTTTAAGCTCTATAGTTAATTCGAATTATACATCGAACTCCATATCATAACTTATCATATCATAAATCTCAACGTGTTTATATTGAAATGCACCATACGCATAATTCTGTATTTGTAACTAAATCACAGTAACCTTATAACATAATTAAAACCTAAATGATTAAACCTTAAAAAAGAACCCTAAATAATTGAGGATGCCGAAGTTTTTTTAATCATGGATGTATTTGTTTTAATTATTGAAGTAGAGAGTAACTTCGTTGAGTATTATAGAATCACAAGAAGAACACTCCCATTTTGTTATCTGATCCTAAAGGAGTTCCAATCACTGTTTTCAGGATTTTAATTACTGGTTGACTCATATTGAATTACACAGCATATAATCTTCTAGCAGAAAACACTATCAAAATCAAGAGAGAATATCAACAATGTAGTCTTCATCTCCCTTAAGAATCTTCTGGTATTCATCGAAAATGTCGTCAATCAAGTTACCATATCCTACTGATGTGGCATCTAAAAATGCCTCAGCGTTGAAACCCTCAAGAAATTCTAGGTTAGTATCAGCGCAAAGTCGGACCAATGGTGGTAAATAAAAAACTTCGATATCATTGGCTGTTCCCTTGCATCTTTCGCCGCTGCTGGATTTTGGCTGATGCACTTTGATCTCTTGTTTGTCCTTCTTTTCCATAGTTTTATTGGGTTTACGGCTTCTTATTTTGACCCTTTTGCTGAGATGAGAATTCCAGTAGTTCTTGATTTCATTGTCGGTCCTGCCCGGGAGTCTTTTAGCTATGAGTGACCAACGATTGCCTAGAAGAGAATGAAGGCTGATGATGAGTTCCTCCTCCTCGGGAGTAATGTTTTCTAGCTTGATATCGGGCCGGAGATAGTTCATCCATCGTAGTCAGCAGCTCTTCCCGCACCGGAGGAGTCTTGATCAGTGCAACAAAACACACCAACAACAATGAAATTGCAACAACTAGAAGAAGAAATGGTAGCTAGCTAGCTAGAGAGATTTACCAGCCCTTTTAGGCAAAGATCTCCAACAGCCTTCACCATGAGCCTGTATATACTTAATCAGCAATCTGTCTTCCCTGGTTATCCAGGGACCTCGATTCAAACCCACCTTGGAACAGCATGGGGCTCTTTCCGTTTCTTTGATATATCAAATTATCACCAAAATTAAACCAAGAGAGAGATGGAGAGAGAAAGTCCTAGGAAGATTGTATCACACTACAAATAGGGACAGACTCAAGGGAAAACTGCTCCCACCAATTTTCTCGATCCATCTCTACTACAAAACCGTCACTTGGAACATGTTATTCAACAAATCCTTAATAATGACAACTAATATGAATAATTTGGTTTTAGGATATTTGATTTGAAAATGTTTTAGTAATACATAAATTTTGAAATTAATATTTAACACACCAATAATGTGTTCAACAACCTTTCTCATTTTATCTGCCCTTCTACTATGAACAAGCTAGTTCCTCCATGTGCGATCTGCAGGAGCCAGGAATGTATGTAGCCTGTATACTTTTGCACACACAAAATGCGTGGATAAAAACTTTGAATAAACATTTTTTTCTATATTTATTATACTTACTATAAATGTTTGGCATTGATTTAAATAAATACAAATACTACGAAAGGGGATTAAGCTACTGAAAGATTGATAACCGTCGTTTTATTATCAAAATAATTCCGGCTTCTTAATTAAATAGAAAGGAAAAGGTAGTATAGATAAGTAGGGTCGATCCACAGGAACTATGATTTTTGTGATTTAGTAAAACTGTTTCTTGATTTTAAGAAAAGATAGAATTTCAGGTAAAATTGAAAAGGTATAAAAAATAAATAAATATAAATTAAAAAAAATAATAAATAATGAATTAAAAATAGTAATAAAGATAAAAGGGGGGTAATTATTTAAAAAAGTATAATGGGATAAAAATTAAATAAACAAATAAATAAAATAAATAATTTGGGATAAAGAAAATTTATAGTGAAAGCGGCCTCAGACTTCAGCTTTGCCTCAAATTCCTCGGATCATCGAAATAGATTTTTACTTCAAGACTCACGTTGGTTTACAAGGACAATTCTTCACTGCCAACTCAGATTGTGTTGTTTCAACAACAACTGATTCTGATCTCAGTTTCCTCTTAGCAAACAATTTTGCTAAATGTGTTCTCAGGAAGTTGAATATGCTTCAATAAGCAAATCTTTCTTCAAACGTTAATCATAACAACATCCAAACCAATGTTGAAATTGTTTTGATTTGAAAAGTAAGCTCAGAAAAAAAAAGAGAAAAATCTGAAGCAATTTAAGTACCTTACAATTCTCACGTTTGGAATTGAGCATTCGCTTTAGTCGTCGGCTTGAAAGAAAATTAACTAAGCATGACCAATGTCATACTTAGCATAATTGAAAATGAAATTCTAAAGAAAAATAAAGGAGTATGCGAAAATAGAGAGAAATCTTGAGAGAAAAAGAAGATTTTATTCTCAGATGAGAAATATATGTTTCTAGGCTCACCCTTAGAGGGTATTTATAGCCTTCAAACTCATAAAAACAAGCTAAAATATCTTAAATCCTAATTAAAACACTTAAAACTATTTACACTAAAATACCTAAAACAAAGATAAAATATAAAAATAATATCCTAAAACTTAATTAAAATACTAAAACCTAATTAAACTAAAATACCTAAAACAAAGATAAAATATAAAAATAATATCCTAAAACTTAATTAAAATACTAAAACCTATTTAAACTAAAATACCTAAAACAAAGATAAAATATAATATTTAAAATATTATCCTAAACTTGAGTTTAATTCAAATCCGAATTCCAGAAACGTGTTGACAATCCATTCGTGCTTCTAGAAACGCTGACTGGATCTTCTAGAAGGTGCTGACGTCATCGCCTCATCGGATATTTCATGTCCGAATTCATGCCCACTAATCCAGCTTCGATTCCGAAAATAAAAAAAATGCATAATTCTGTCATTTTAGTGTAATTTCTAAAATCTAACGTCATGCACAGAAAATGAATGGAAACGAATAATTAAGCCACAAAAAACAATGATTAAAGAGTAATTTAAAAGCAAAATATTAACTAAATTAAGCACTTGTCAAATTCCCCCTCACTTATTTAATGTTTGTCCTCAAGCATTCATCAATTAACATATCAAAATCATAAGTTGATGTCTTCAATTTCAATTTATTCCTCAGACTTCCAATCGAACTAAGTCCATGATATTTGTCGAATTCAAGTTACAATCAAGCAAAGATACAACCAAGAAAATTTAAAGTAAGCAAGATACCACAATTAATTGCCAACTTCAATAAAACATGACTTAATACCTCACAAAAATTCACACATATCCGCTCAAAGTGTTTGGGGTAAATGAAATCGCTTAAACATAAACTAACCAAAATATTACCATAGGCTTGGAATCCAATCAAGTCTCCACTACGAAAAATGAACATAATGCAATAATCAAGGGGTCTTTAAACAATGTGTAACAGGGCTTAGGTTAGGGTAGGGAAAAGACCGAAAAGAAAGGTTTAAAATACCGAAACAAGAGATCAAAATAATTAAGAACAATCCACGAATTAACATGAAACGCAATGAAGAACAAAACAAGGAAAAAATAATAGATGAAAGACAATTGAAACGATCGATTTTTCCTTCCCTTTTTTCTGAAGAAGGGTTTTTTTTTCTGCTGTTCGAAACAGTGAACAACTAGCTATTTTTTTTATTTTTTCGAAACAATGAATTTTTTTATTTTTTCTTTATTCATGGAACAAGAGTGATACAATATATCAAGTCTCGGTAAGGGTGTGAAAATAGAGGAAAAATAAAAAGAAAGACTTAGGGTTTAATTATGAGGTGTAAAACAAAGAAAGGGAAATAGACTCAAATTTGGTTCACTAGTGGATACATAAACGGGTAGGCTTTTTGGGAAAAGTGGGTTTATCCTAGGTGCCCTTATCACATTAAAACATTACGTTCAATATGTAGTCTCGATATGTATTGTGATTACAAGTTCTAGAATATCCTAATTAGTTCGGCACACACAAGTCAAACAATGAGCAAGAAAGAAAATGTATGCTCTTTAGGCCCAAATCTCACAAGAAAAGTTTATGTGCATTGAGTCAAGTTTATCTCTATCGAAAAAAACATGAAATATCAATACTCAACAAAAATTAACTAGTTATATCAATCACCAGTCATGCAAATTAAATTCGATCAAAAACATGGTCATTATCCAAAAGGAAGCAAGAGTATAAAGCAAAATTCAAGATTAGCAACCAACGATCACAACATATCAACATCAGAATAACTCAATTTCAAACAATTAAACAAATCAATGAAAAATTTGACGACATGTTTATCCTTCCCCCATCACTTATTTTGTTTTGTCCCAAAACATATATCAATTTTTTTTTAAAAAAAAAGATAGGGAAAAAGAAGACTCCCCAATCTAGTGGTGACTGCGGCCAAGTCGAGACGAGCTGTTGTAGAGTAGAATATCCGATACTGCACTCTATTGTTTGAATATGTTGTGTATTTTTCTGCACTGTTCGAATCAAATTAATTTTTTATGCACTGTTCTGTTCGAATTTTTCTGCACTGTTATGTTCAAACTTTTCTGCACATTTCGAACCAAGTCAATTTTTCGTTAAATATTCGATCGGAATTCGGATTTGTTCAGAGAAAAATAAAATAAAATTAATGAAATAAAGTTTGCTAAAAATAAAATAAAATGAAATGAAAATGAAATGAAATGAAATGAAATGAAATAGAACAAAAATAGAACAAAATGGGTTACCTCCCATCAAACGATTTTGTTTAACGTCGTTAGCTCGACGACCTAATTCAGACTATAGATTTCGAGAGAAATACTTCCTCTACTTAATACGTTTTTTCCAACTAAGAACTTTCTTATGAGAAATTCTACGATCATATAATTTTTTTATTTTTTTTCTTGTAGATTTTGACTTTCTCACAGACTTTTCTTCGGATATTTTTTAGCTTTAAAAGCTTATCTGAAATAACCGGTGAAGTAGCATTTTCTCCTAAAAAGACATTCTTTAAGTGTTTCAGCATTTGTTTCAATTCTATCTCAGGTGCCTGCAAAACAGAAGGTAAAATTTTAGTTTTAGAGTAAGGTAAAAATAAATCAGAATTGATTGAATTAATATTTTCAAACTCTCTTTCTTCCTCTTTGTGGTAAAGTTCAGGATCCATGAAAAGATTAGATTCAATATATTCATTAATTGAAGGATCTAAAATATCAACATAATTAATTCTTTCAACTCGATCCGGGTATTTCATTGCTTTGAAAACATCAAATTCAACGATCTCACCATCAAATTCCATTGTCAGTATGCCACTTTTAACATCGATCTTTGTATGTGCAGTTCTTAGGAAGGGTCGGCCTAAGAGTACTTCGGAATAAGTATCCAACCTATCATGTTCCATGTCAATGACATAGAAATCTGCAGGAAAAAATAATACATCGACCTTTACCAAGACATTTTCCATTACTCCTACTGAATATCACAGATCGATCAGCCAACTGTATGGCTATTCTTGTTTCCTTCAAAGGCTCGTTAGTAATTATTTTATAAATAGAAAATGGCATAACATTGATTGAAGCTCATAAATCACACATTGCACGTTTAATTTTAAAATCACATATTTTGCAAGGTATAGCGAACATACATTGATCCTTCATTTTTGGTGGGAGCTTTCGTTGAAAAATTGTAGAGACATGTTCCCCCAAATTTACCTTTTTGTGCCCCATTAATTTCCTCTTTGTAGTGCAAAGTTCTTTTAAAAATCGAGCAGACATTGGTACTTGTCGAATGACTTCAAGAAGGGGTA